ACCTCCGTGCCAGGGAGGAGGAGCGTGGCTGAGCAGACCCCAAGTAGCTTAATATTTCAAAAACACGGAACGAATGCATGCGGTCTAGCCGCCTCGCAGACAGACCGTGGTGTTCAGAAGGTTGTGCAGTTGTGCATGATGCACTTGCCAGACTGGCCACAGTCGTGGTCTTCGTGGAGAACCCTGCAGACGCGACAGTTGCGGAGCGGCTAGTGGCGCATGCGGGGCAGAGCAACGCATTGCTGCAATGGCTGCTAGAGCAGAACACTTATATACATCCCAGAGCGCCGTCGCACGCCTACAACACCGAGTTTTCTCCGCGGCGCATCGACTACGTCTTCGTCCGGGGCGGCAAGGTGGATCAGGCACGGGCACAAGTTCCAACAGCGTGGGCAGACGCTCGTCCGATAACCCATGAATACGCTGAGCAACGGCTCAATCGTTTGAGTAGCAAGATTGTTGACTTGATTCCGAGACCTCCTTGACCATCTTCAAATGGAGCTTCTCCGATGGCGCATCGGAGACGGCTTGAACCGCACTAAGCTTCTCACATGGGGTTTTAAGCAAGACACGTCAAGCCTACACACGAGGTGCTCAAATTTTTCCCTACGGGGAAGATTAGCAGTAACGTTCGTCGAGATGGACCACGAATCAGCCGACTTCGTCAGCTACTTCTTCCATCAGTAGCTGGTTGGGCATTGAGTGGTATGAACGCTTCTGTCCTGGACCCTGGCGTCATCTTGCACAGCGCAACCTTTTGTTTCTCAATTGGCAGTGCGAAGAGCATTTGCTCAAGCGTGCTACACCACACTGCACACTGTCCGGCGGGCGTCAGCAATATCTAGTGAATCTAGTGTTTCATGAACCTCGCTTGGTGAAGGTCGTAACGTTTCTGTGGGCACATGCTGGTCCTTCGGGCCAAATCTTTCAAGGCTCCGTAATGGTTTTTCGCCCCTACTTTGCCATGCTGGATGACGCGTTTGGATTGGTTCTACCAACACATTCAAAGCTTGAACTGTACCATGTTACGACGACGCTGGCAGCACCATCAAGCAGCCCTCTCCGACCCGTCACTGCCCGTCAACACGATTTGGCATTTTTCGGGCACGTGGCGGTATCAAGAACTTCTTTCCTGGTATTGAACAAGCTGGTGTTGAATTGGACTGGGAATTTGGTGCTCGTAAACGGATGCCTCGATTTGGGATCGCCTGCTATGGAGAGAAATTCGAAATCACTTCCGACGACAAAGAGGTCCATGGAACAGCGAAGGGTGCACCGATTCGTCCTGCCGTCCAACTGTGGCCGGCGCGCACAGACTTTGAACGCTGCCAGTGCTTGGGACAGCGACTGTCATTGAGAAAATGACGATGTGTATTACGTGTGTTGTTAAGCTGGGAGTCACCGGGCCTCAGACTTTCACCGCTGTTCGTGGAAGGTGTAAGGGTGGCTGCCGTTCCAAGCAAGCTACAGGACATGAGGAAGAGGAGAAGCAGAGCCAGCAAGAGGTTACGATCACAGCAAGAAAGTGGAGAGAGTGGGAAAACTATGAAAAAGTAGAACAGGCTCCAGAAAACGGTTATCAAAACCCATTCATAGTTCGCCCGTCCCCAAGTGCCCGCAGTCAAGTAATGCCCGGGGCGTTGATTCGTCCCTTATGCCTGGGAGAAGAAGAGGGTTCACTTCACTCCAATATGGGGTGCGCCTGGCAGGGGGGGCTTCCTCGCCACCAAACACGCACCGGAAGGAAGCAAAGACGAGTGGAAAAGACGAAGCGGTTCTCCATGTGTCGCATTATCTACTGTGTGTGGTTATACCAAATGTATGATGGCGTGTTCCAGCCAATCGCTTCAGAAGGAAGAACGCTCCAAACATGCATTGAACTTGGTGTGTTTGGCGACACTTGTGTTTCGTCATTGCAGTTGCGTTCATCAGTGCCCGTTTCATTGCTTGTGATAGCAGCCATGGCAGTAACTTCAGCGACTGGTAGCAGTGGCACACGAACTTTACCCTGATCTGGTCTGGAGACATGAGACATGCGAAAGGCAATGGGAGGACTTTTGTCAACTGTGGGGCTATGTGGGTTGCCCGGGCCTTGGGAAGTGCAGCGGGGCTGACACCTTTTTTCTGCGAGTGGTTTCCAAGGTGTGGATTATGGCAGCGGCCTCTTCTCTATGAGGCTGCAGCAGACCATGTTGAACAGAGTCTCAGAGCAAAGAAGGAAGGCGGACATGGCCCTGGACTCAAGACCAGGGTCACGCAAGATAGTCCACGCAATTGACGTTCAATGCCTTGTGGAAGGAGAAAAATGAGAGCCTACAGTGGCACTTCAGAGTGCAACATTGGTTTTCAAGTCAAGTCTGCGAGTCCTCGAGCTTTGGTTCAAGATGGCGCTTGTGCGCCCGGACCGCGGAGATGTCCCGAAAAAGAGAATGTTGTCAAGATGTCCTCAAACAGAGGCGGTAAAGAATAGTTCAGAACAACCGTTTCCGAAGCAAAACGAAAGGCGCGCAACATCCCATCTACAAGCACAGCAATCGAATCAACAGAGGAGAGACCATCCAACAGCAGCAACTTCAGCACGACACGATTCGGACAGGGCAAATAAGCCCGAACGATCATGGGTGAAACCAGAGCAGGCCAAGCACAACTGCACCGACCACAGTGACCAGCCCTGCACCCATGCAAGCAAGCACGTCCACACACAGAGACTCAAGAACCTGCAGTACTGATCAGCGCAGCAATGGGGCAACCTAAGGCAATGTGCAGCAAAAGCCTAAGCAGGTTTCACCTGCTCTCTGAGTCCACCCAGTGCCAACCCGCCGACCACCTAAACAATCGGGCGCTGGCAATCGCTGGAGCTCGCTCTCATTCGTTCCCTCGCTGTGTCTGTCTGGCTCCCAAGCTTCTCTCCTCGTCCCATGCCAGGCTACCTGTTTTCTCGGAGGAGGATGCAGCAGGTCCTGTCAAGGCAAGGGTGTGTGTGCGCGTGGTGATGTGGCACTGCTTTCTTTGGCATCCCTTGCAGGCAGACAGGTAGATGAAGGTAACATCTTGGTTGCCAGGCTTGTTTCCTTGGCTGCGCTCGATTCTGGTGCTTGTGACACAAGCTCAGACCTTTCCCAATGCACGATTCAACGCTGGAGCCGTCGGTTGTTAGAGCACGGCGCATCCAAGGCGAAGGGCCTCGCCATTTTCTCTTCACCCACGAGGTCGTCAGATACCGTCAGATCTGCAACATGCCAACGCAAAGCACGTGAGGAGTAGAACATAGCGAATGCTAGTCTGAAATGCCGGAAGGCTTCCGCTGAGCGTGTAGAAAGTGATGTCTTCCGACGAAGCTTCGGCCCCGCGCTGATGGTGATGGTACCATTCATGTTATTGCTGGCACTTAGCGGTGATGTGCAAGCTGTTTGCAAGCGTTCGACAGCTTGACCTGAACTGCGGTCTCTTTTGAGCACTACTCCGCAACTGCAACTGACCTACAGCTACACGGAATCATGTTAAAGGTTGTGATCCGCGCGGAGCCTACTGCCGCTTGTGCGAGCGGGATATGGTCCGGAGCTCGGAGTATTTACGCAGACGCAGAGGATATTGAATGCATAAGAAACAAAGGACTCAAGGGGGTTCCCGCGAGAATGCTGCCAAAGACGAGCGTACAAACATAGAAGATCACAGAATCACAGAAGTATATAGAATAACTTGGGCCTGATGTGATCTTTTCTTGATTCGCGGGGCATGCAGTGCATCTGGGAACACGCGGAGGGGATTACATTAACATGCTGCTCGAGTATGTACCACGTGCAGCAAGCTTTGACTCAACGGTTTGATGGGGCGGACAAGACAGAATGGCATGCCCAAACCAACGGCTTCATGATCAAGCCATGCCCGTACGCTTGAGGTACACATCGACGGCGGTGAACTTGTTCAAAATGGACGTGGTCTCAGCAGTTCTTGAGTACAACGTAAATTAGGACCAATTAGGATGCATAGTGCGCAATTCGAGGAATGGCATTCTTGCCTTGCTTGCTCCATGCCAAAGTGCTGGCTTCTCTGTTGTCAACTATCAAAGCTGGTCCAGTGTCAGTAAGGGAACCCTTATTCAGCTGTCATCAATCACGGGAACTTACACGGTTCATCATGACCGAACCAGATTCACATGGTCAGACAGCTTGAGCCGTTTGTCGGAAAAGCCTGCAGTTCAACAGCATACAGCCTGGATTTCTGTGCGGCTCGCAGGGTTGTGGCTGGGATCGGTTGCTTGGAGTGTGTAGACCAGCCTCAGTCGAGCATTGTTGTATCGCCAAGTCTTGAAGCACTGGCTGACATTAGCACAAGTCATGCTGACAAGCATGCGGGCAGGGCCATACTTCAAAGCTGCCTCTGAGAGCATTCAAGTCTACAAGTGGCTCTTTCGCGAGTTTATCGGAAATCCGTAGCAGGAAGAACAGATCAACATATTGCTTGGCTCGTTTGACCGCTTAATGATTAGTGAAGCTTTACAGGGCCCTCTTTGCATCGAGTTGGCCCCCCTTTGCTGGCGGAAGATGCGGAGCTCAGGGTTTGCAGAAGAACTTGCATTGAACAGCCCGTGTGGTGCAGGCATTGTGCAAGTTTCTCAGACGGTCGCGCAAAAGTCTATATGGCTAATACGTTGAATGCAGGTATTGTGCATGGAAAGGCCATCACACTCAGCTCACAACCAATGAGCAACTTGCATAAGGCCAAATGCCACGCCTGGGGTTGGGCAGCATGGCCACATAACACTTATTTTGCTGGTGGTGATCAACGGGTGTCTCAAGAGACATATAAGTGCGATGCCATCATTCAGCTCAGCTTCGCAGCATGTTTCGATCGCAGCACAGATTTCGTGGCCTGGGCGAGCCACATGCATGTGCCTGAACTGACTGCGAGACATGGCTCTGTACGGTCACACTTCTTAAAAACACATGGCCGCACTGTTCCAGCTTCAACTACAGTCCTTTTCAGAGTGCAGCTGGCCGATGACAACAAAGCAGCTGGATAAGATCTTGTCAGGGTCCGAGCCGGCTAGCTTTGTGGGATTCTGTTGCTGAATTCTGGAACAGACCGCCGCTTCTGCTTGAGGCTTCCGGATCTTCTCAAACCCGTGTCCAAGCTTCGGTGTGCTCCTCGGAAACTTGTCCGTCCGACTGGTTGGGGTTGGGTATTTCTGAACATCGCAGGCATGGCGAGCTGCAGAGCTTTCTCGGATGGGGCCACAGATCCATTCATCCTTCGTGAAGTATGGATTCCAAACTTGCACGATCTTGCGCGGAAGCTGGTCGGACACTTCAACAAGGCCTGGATTCCGTTGGAGCCAAAGTTGCCCTTCGAGGTCGCCACGAGGCGCTCTTGGGGTGTGGGATGCTTTGCTGAGCGACTTGACTGAGTGCCGACCAGTTGATTGGCAGGAGTTCCTCTTTACTTCCTTGCATCAGCCTAGAGCAGAAGTCCAGTGCCTTGCTCAGATGCCTGTCTACGTTGCGAAACTAGACAACTTGAAGTGCACAGGCAGAGGACCAAGAAGGCGAGTAGGGATGCTTGTCACGCTGACACACACACACACACACACACACACACACACTCCCCCACACTAATGAGCCCCTGCCTAAGGCATCTAACCCCTGGCAGCCACGCGTATTACAGCTTCCGTCTCACATGCTTTACTAGGACGATCTAGGACGTAGAGGCTACTTTAAGCTCCAATGTCCGACGTTCTCCTGCAGAAGTGTTGCGTAACGACTGCAGCAAGGCACATAAGCAGAGTCTACACCATATGTGCACATTGTACAGATGCGACAAACATCCGCTCCGGCAAGTCGACGGAGAAACTGGTAGCACTGTCTGCTTATCATTGCTTCTCAGCCTGAACACCTGAAAGCCAATAGTGTTGTCCTTCGCACCTGTGCTCTTGGACATGGCTCATCCCATCTCGCACCCTCCACGTGCTGGTACGGCTCCACTGCCTGTTCTCGCATCCCCGTAACCTCCCGCAACTGAACTTACGGGCTTCACGCCACTGGCGGAACTATAGGATTCCTCCCTGTGCTGAGATCCAGCCTTGCAGAGCTGCCGGCTCCAACGCCGTTGCCTCGGTGGAGATATGCCTGGCATCGAACGAAGGGCTTCGTGTACACTTGCTCAGGCAATCCATGATGCAGGCCGTAGCTGCCGTTCCGGCAATAGCGACGGGCATCGTCCAAACAGCGTTCCCTCGCCTTTGGGGAATTGCAGCTGCCTCGGCCGCCGCATGGGCCTAACGTCATATTGGCTTTCATATCGGTTGTCCTAGACTGGCAACCATTTTGAGATCAGCGGTGAAACGGAAAGTGTGCTTCAGACGAAATCTTGTGCGTGCAAGGGCCCGAGAATCACAAAGCTTAGAAGCGCAGCCACCACCGCACGGGCCACCAATGCAAGTTGCCGCGTGTGAATGTGGCACGGTGCCACGCGAACTTGCGGACCGAATCCAGTGGGTCGATCACCGAGGTGCAGCCTATCGTGGATCCCTTCAGTGATGAGAAGGAGGCACGGACTGCCGCATGCTGGAGTTTGGGAAGCTGTTTGCACTGAGCGAGCGAGCCGTTTTGCTGTTTCAGTTGGAGGCCCGTGGAAAGTCTTTGTTGCATAGGTCATGACATGTGCATGTCCTGAGCCAGGGTGACAAAGAGACTGGATGGTGCAAGTTTCTTCCAAGTCCTCGGGCCACGCTTTGGAGCCGGGGAGTGCTTAGCGGCTTCGATGGTTTCTGTGCCAGGAGTTCTCCGCGTGTTCTATTGGTCGGATGTTGCAACAGTTGCGACCTTGGCCCACAGCCTGTACTACGTTTGCGATGTGCCTTTGAGGACTCTTCATTCAGAAGCCCCTTTGTGACTGCAGTGCTCCGCATCTCAGAAAAGCAGCTATCTCCTGAATCATGTTGGCTTGCAGGACATGGCTGCTAGGCCGGTCACCGAGAGGGTCTGAGCATTGAGCAAGCTGCATCGGCAAACTGTTGCTTTTAGGCGGACTTCTGTTGGGCTTTCCTGTCAGTGACCTGGTGCACCGAATGGTGATGAAGGATGATCCAAGGACGGGGCATGTTCGATTCTGTGCTTCCCATGTTGAAGCCCCAGCCCCACCCAGCCCAAACCCAAGCCCAACCAAACTGTCTCGGGAAATTTAGTATCTGAAATCAGCCTCTCTGTCCAGGTGAGGGGGAGTTGTAGCAGGGGGGTGGGTGGGTGGGTGGGT